TTAAGGCGGTGGAATTTAATTAAAATCAAATTTTAATTGAATAACAAAATTAGAGTCTAACTCTAATTCCAATATTTAAGGGCGAATGAATTTACAACTCTAAATCTAAGATTTTAGGGCGAACGTGTTTAATCAAAATCAAATTTTAATAAAACATCAAATTAGAGTCTAACTCTAATTTAAAAAAAAAAAAAATTTAGGGCGAAACAATTTAATTAAAATCAAATTTTAATTAAATGTCAAATTAGAATCCAATTCTAATTTCTAAAATATCTTCGGGTGAAAAATTAATTAAAATCGAATTTTAATTAAGTCTTAAATTAGAGTCCAACTTTGATTTAAATTGAATCAATATTTTAAATTAGGATAACACTCCTAAATAAAATAAAATTCAATTGGGGGTCAAAATTTAATTTTTAAGTTAAAATCATATTTTAACAAAAATATTAAAGTCGTCAATTTTAAATAAAATTTTTAATTTGGGTCAAAATAAAATTATGGGTCAAATCCATTTGAAATTCAATTTTAAAACCGTTTTAAAATTCAAATTTAAACACTTTCAAAATATGCAATTTGACCCAAGTTAAAATTAAAAATCAAACCCTTCCAATTCGATAATTGCAAAACAGGTCCTCCTTTTAAAATTGCACATTGACTCTTCTTACTTTAATTGCGGGTGCCACCCCAAAATTTCCCAAATTGCAGGGGAAACCCCCGTCCCAAATTCACCATACCCGAATCTGAGAAACTGGAAAAACCCTAGAAATTCGCCGTTATACTTCTTAGTTTTTAGGGGGCGGCAACTTCCCTTTTTCCGTCTGAAGAACAGCAGCAGCGCCGTGCCATTCGCCACCACCGCAACACTACCATAAAAAATTTATTTATTTATTTTTTTAATGTTCGAATCAAAACCATATTTTAATAAAAAAAAATTCTTCTTAATTGCTAGATCCATGAAAAATTATAACAATCAACGTTTGATTGTTTAAACATATTAAACAATTTCTAACAAACACAAAATAGGCTCTGATACCACTGTTGGGAATCTACTTATACATGCACGGCGGAAAATTAAAATTATTTCGATTCCTACCGAGGATCCTTTTGTGTTTAGATAGAAATCGTGATAAAGATTGTACATTTGAAGAATTCTGCAAACCTTTTATTTTTCTTTTTGTTCCAGTAATCTTGAATTTGCCTCCCACAACTGTCCAATCGTCCAGCCTCCAATGAAATCCACACAGAGAATAGATTACAACTGCTAGGGTTTTTCCTCTTGTGCCAGCAAGAATAATGAAAAATCATGTGGACCTCAAACCCTAGCCATGTATTTATATAAATCCAAACGGGCTCGGCCCGATCCGGTTCAATATTTAATTAATCCAACTAATTAAACCCGATCCGTGAATTAATTAATCCAATTAATTAATTCGAGAATATAAATAACAAATTCAATTAATTAATTTATCCAACGATTGTTAAATTAACCAATTTACAATTTACAATCTTCCAATTCTCTTTTGTGTACGACCTATTAGGTTCCGAACCACGATGCCCAACGATGTGAAATATTATTTTAATCTAATCAAAATTGATAAATTAAAACACCTTTTTAATTTATCGTCAATTCACACTCGCTGTCCCTGATTGACATCTAGCAATGTGTCAGGGCAATACATGTGACGGAAAATGTCACGTGGTATGACAAAACCAAATTCGTTCATTTACCGTAAAACTATAATCCATTCGTCAATATGATCCGATCAATTACGAGATATGGAATTGTGTCAATCCTGAATTTCGATCATATCTTTCACTCCACTATTAAGTCAATATAAGTCGAAAACTCCTTTTCGACTTATGAGTACACCTTGGCCAATGATTTCATCAGCGACTTAATTGAATGAAATGCAGATCATAATCTCATACTATCTAAGAGTGACGAATCCTTTATTGATCAATCACAACATTCATTCGATTCTTGACGTACCCGAACGATATCGTATTAGCGGCCCTTTACAGAGCAACATCCAACACCGCCAAAGTATGACTGTCCTTATATAAGATACGATAACGACCTCAAGTCAAAGGACCAATTCCACTACCGGATATTTAGAGATTAACCACTGACATTCAAATAGTTATCCATGTGGAATCTCTCGACGGGTCTCCAATATTTTGTTCTATAACAAAACATCAACGTATTCATTTAAGTGTCACCACACTTTAACTTGTAAGATCAGCTACTCACTTCACAAGTAAGAAATGCCACACGTGATGGTCTATCTGAAAAAGCGATATCCGTATCTTATTATTACTTACGATCATGGACAATTTAAGATTCATTCAGATGTAATTTGTATCTCACAATCACAACTCTTTGTGATTAACAAATTACGAAAATTTGAATTTACAGTCTCTATTATTTATTTAATTGTCTATTAATTAAATAATAGATATGTCATTAAATTACATTAATTATATATATCAAAAATATTTATATCCAAAGTTGATTGAACTTAGGACATAATACTTACAAAAAGGAAAACAAAAAACTTGCAGAGAGGCGTGACAAAGCTTTTTTATAAAGATTTGTGTACACAATGAACGCGGTCACAAAGTGGAGAGAGAGAGAGAGTGGGAGAAAAAAAAATAGATAATGAGTCTGTCTGTCTGTCTGTGTGTCCTGCCCTCGAATGATTCGAAATTCTACCATGCTTTACTAGTTTTCTACGATTCATTTGATATTTAGTACACGTTTTTCTTTGGCATTCAAGATCACGAGTTTTTCTATTGGTTCCTTAGGTTTCCATTTGATAATTTTATTTGATAAGCCTCAAAATTGTTTAGTGTGACAATATCGTTGAAATTTACTTTATCGGTAAAGAATTATCGTTTATAGTAATTTTATCCTATAGACTTTGCAAACTTTTCTATGTTAAAAAATTAGGGTACATTTGGCGCAAAATATTAGGTTGTATAACAAATTTAGCATAAAAATGTAATGGAAATTATTGGGTAGATGTTATTATCTAGTCATTTGCACCAAATAAATATAATGCATAAGTTGGAGGTGGTTTTAGGTCTAATAAAAAAGATATAGGAAATAACATTCTTAGGAAAATTAAAGAATATTATTCATCAATTCCACCATAATATCCTCCACCTAATGATATCTTATTATAATTTTATACTAAATTCATTATATGGTGCGCCAAACACAACTATGAGGTTTTAGTGTTTTCAGCGATCAAAAATGGATTTACATAATCCTTTCTGGAATATTCTTTTCTAAATTATCTATCTTTTTCCCTCCAAATAACTCTATTAGAATAATGCTACTCGTAAATAGTGTAAATAGTGAAGTTACATAATTGTTTACATTGTCATAAAGAGATTAAAAAAGTTTTATTATTAATTTTTTTTTGGGAAAAATACTGACCTAATTACAACTCACTACATCATATTTAAGTAAACCATTATATAACTTCTTATGTTCATATAGCACAATCGACTCAGTTAACATTGAGAGACCTCGTAAAAATTGGTGAAAGTGGAATACATTGTTAAAATTTGAAGTAAGAGAGACTTTTGCAATTTTTGAAAAGAAAAGGAGTGCGATTTTAATAATATAGTATAGTGACGATTAGATTTTATATAGGCCACCGGCAAGATAAATATATCTATTAATAACCATACAGTTGTATATATGAATTCTATGGTAGCAAGATAAGATAATTAATTCATAGCACTAAATTCGATTCTAGCTCTTATTAAACAAATAAAAAGATCTAAATTTGATGTTGCAGCTGAGGTCTTGCAATTTACGAGGCTTTTTAGTTTAACATTCAACTTGCCCAAGATAGAAAGTAAACCCACAGTTTTCACATACGTCGTCATCATTGAGGTACAATTCACAATTTGTTCAAAGACTTAACCATGTCGAAATAGTTCTTATGCGACTCTGTGCTTTCTTGAGAGGTGAGAAGTTGTTCTTTTTTATTTTTTTTAATAGGTGTCTGGCACCACGTAACTGTCTAGCAGTTGCCATCCACATGTCTTCATGAGACCTACCCACTCCTGAGACGATTTTACCGTTTTATAGTGGTTTCCTTCCGCCCACTACTTGAATGGTGGGTTTAATGATAACCGTTAGGATGATTACTCATCAGTGCCAATGATATTCGGGTAATCTAGAGAATAGCGGTCGGTCCGCGCATGGTGGGAATTAGACTAGCATAGCAATAAGTACTCTATCCTGACGAGCGTCACCTGATAAGCTAAAAGCTGTTTGTACCCTATGAGCAAGCGTGCATAACGCCGATCGAGCTTGCACAACGGCAACCACCAAGCGAGCATAAAGTTGGTCAAATTAGCACAACGCAGTCACCATGTAATGATAGGTGCCACGCAACATAGTGGGAATCGTCTGACATAGTGGGAGTTATCCTCTCTTTACCAATCGTCTCAGTTCATTATTTGAACCACATAATATCACGTGTAGGGGTGGACCCATTAAGAGCCCAGTGGGGGCAGTTGCCCCCACTGAAATTTCAAATATCTTGAGAAAATTCTCAAGACAAATGCTGGACATCTGGTCCAGTGGTTATTATTGCTTTAGATGTAGGAATTAGGAAACTCTGAGTTCGATTATCAAAATGTTCTTTTTGTCATTCTTCTTGTGTTTTCATTTTGGCCCTTTCATTCTTTTGCTTTCACAGTTTATTTTAGCTCTTTTTTTTTTCTTTTTTTTTTTTGTTTTGCCTCCACTGAAAAATAATTTTGGGTCCGCCCTGCACATGTGTACCAATTAATGCAAGGATTTTGTAATAGAAGTCAGAAAAAAGAAACGGCCGGATTATTAACTGGATAACGTTTTCATTGGAAACTTGCACTTGATTCTAAATTGTTTTTTGTGTTCAACTTGTAGTGCATAAAATTCAACGAAGCAAAAATCTAGCAAGAGAATTGGCTGTCATTTGGCGGTGGTGGCGGTGGCCGAGATCTGCTCCTCTAGCCAATGCTATATATAGAACGTACCAGGACGAGTATCATGCACTTAATCGAAATAGCCATGGCCACTTCTCAAACCTCGTGCACTATTCTCAACCCTACACCATACTCCCACAAGTACTCTTCCAAACCCTTTTTTGCTAAGCCATCCTATTTTTTCACCAATGCAAAGCGTTCTATTGACTTTCAACTTTCATGCAAAGGTGGCGAAAAGCGGGCCCTAGAAACTTCTCTACGCAATAAAATCGACAGAAGAAATGTGCTTTTCGGGTTCGGTGGCCTCTACAGCGCCGCCAATCTAGATTCCGATCTTCAGCTAGCATTGGCTGATCCATTAAAAGCACCGGAATTCAGTAAGTGTGGTGTTGCTAAGGATTTGAACAAGGGAGGGGCAGCTGTAGATGTGAATTGTTGCCCTCCGTTGTTCGACAAAATCATCGATTACAAGCTCCCTCATGCAACGAAATTGCGAGTTAGACCGGCTGCTCATAAGGCCAGGAAAGAATACATAGCCAAGTATAAGAAAGCCATCGAGTTAATGAAGGCTCTTCCTCCCGAGGATCCTCGTAGTTTTACTCAACAAGCTAATATTCATTGTGCTTATTGCAATGGTGCACATGATCAAGCTGGTCACCCTGGATTGGACATTCAAGTCCACAATTCTTGGCTCTTCTTTCCTTTCCATAGATGGTATTTGTACTTTTTCGAAAGAATCTTGGGAAAATTGATTGGGGATCCCACTTTTGCCTTGCCATATTGGAATTGGGACAATCCTAAGGGCATGACTGTACCATCCATGTTTATTGACTCCACTTCGCCATTATATAATGCAAAGCGCAACTTGGCGAACATGCCTCCAACCGTCATCGATCTAGGCCTCACCGGCACCACTGACGACCTCCAAAAGGTCGTCAACAATCTCACGATCATGTACAGTGAAATGGTTCGCAGTGTCAACACTGTGGAGGATTTCATGGGAAAACCATACCTAGACGGAAGCACCACCGATCCCGGGCCGGGGTCGTCTGAGCGTGGCTCTCATGCCACGGCCCACGTGTTCGTTGGAGATCCAAAGCAACCCAGTTTTGAAGACATGGGAAACTTTTACTCGGCGGGTCGAGACCCTCTTTTCTATTGTCACCATTCAAATGTCGATCGCATGTGGACGTTGTGGCGAGACCTTAAAACCCCTATACCTAAAGACATTACAGAAGCAGATTTCTTGAATGCCGAATTCCTATTCTACGATGAGAACGCACAGCTTGTGCGTGTTAGAGTCGGTGATTCAGTCAATAATGCAAACATGGGATATACATATGAAAAAATGGAACTTCCATGGCTAAACTACAAGCCACCAAAGAAGGCAGCCAAATCTAAAGTAAAAAATCTTTCCACTGCTCCAAATGCGGCTCATGTCTTTCCTGTTACCCTCAACAATATTGTGAGAGTAGAGGTTCCCAAATCCAGCAAGGGAAAAGCAGATGAGTTGCTTGTGCTGGAAGACATTGAAGTTGACCCTTCCAAATATATAAAGTTTGATGTATTTGTCAACGACGAAGATGATGAGTCTAAGGAATTGGACAAAGCCGAGTACGCCGGGACCTTCGCCCAGGTGCCACACAAAACTAAGAACAGCAAGGGAAAATCCTCCATCAATTTGAAATTGACACAGCTTTATGATGACATTGATGTAGCGGATGATGATACCATAGTGGTGACAATTGTGCCAAGATCTAATGGCGATAACATCACCATTGGTGGTATCAAGATTATTCCTGCGCCAATCGCTACATTTTCTTGAATGACTGCTTATTCGTCGAAATAAAGCCAATTGAGAACCTTTATTTTCATTCTAGTTTGATTGTTCACTTATGCAATTTAATATAATAAGATTATCTGGGTCATGGAAGTATGTGAAATCCGACTACAAAGATTTTTCATATTGAAATAGTATCATGAGATTATAGTGGACTTAGAGTATTTTCAAGAAACTCTTTATTTTTATGAGTATATTTTGTAGTTTAGAGAGTACCTATAACTTTAAAGAGTATAAATTTTTAAATATTCAACATACTATTTATCTTTAACACTTAATTTAATTACTAAAAATATATTTATTGTTTTTCCACGTTTTTTTTAATTTTCACTAGTTTCCCTCTAAATTATATATTATTTTTCTTTATTGAAAATTGAAGTACTTTGAATACATTTAAGACAAATTTTCATATATAAGAAATTAAATATGACTAATTTCAAAATTAAGATACAAGGTTATAAAATTCAAAAATTAGATACTAATTAAAGGAGCTTGCTGTGTGTATAGAAACTGCACACATAGAAGTCATATAGAATAGATACAGCATGGGGTGGGTGGGGGATGTTTTGGCCTTTTTTTATCACAACATGGTCCCACACATGTGAAAATTCTGGCAGAATTCTATATAATCGTTTTCTGTAAAAATGGAAATATCCTTAATTAAATTTTATTTATGAAATTTAAAATATATTTTATTAACTAAATATATTAAGATCTCAATTCTATATGATGTGGTCACATATTATCGAATTAATTTGTCACAAAATATTTCTAGTTACAAATCAAAAATTTTATAGATCACAATTTATTTATAAGTGACAATTAAAAAGTTATATACATGACAATTTATTTATTGGTCACAGATCACAAATTTTGTAAGTCACATCTTATTTCACGATAACAAATTATCAAATTGATTGATCATATGTCATTCTTATTTTAGATCACATTATTTAACAGTCACAAGTTATTCGTTTTATTGATCACATATTATTTATTGGTTATAAACAACCATAAAAATAATTAGTTACAAACACTCCACATCCTAACCCTCACCAATCCCATCATCGAAAACAATTCGTGGTCACAAATTAACCAACTAATTTGGTCATAATACTCTTCATCCTACTCCCACCCAAATCCCAATAGTTGTTCACAAACTCCCAAATAACTGGTCACAAATACTTTCATTCCACATCGCCACCGCAACCTCAACCACAATCTCAACCACCACCACCAACAAAACACTACCTCCATTGCCACCACCATTGCAGATGCCGCACCACTACCATCGCCATTTTCAGACCACCAAAAAAACCCCAAAACCACCACCCATGTTTCCTATCTTCTACTGGCCAGATCAACTCACTTCAACACTGTCGGCCACCATAATTTCACCATCACCTCTCCAAATCAACAAATGAACCACCAAAATCCTCCACCAAATCAAACCATGCCATAACCATCATCTCCTTCACACAACTGCCATCTTTTTCAATCTTTCAACTCTCATTGCCTTTCACCCACATCAAACCATAGAAACCACCAACTGTCGTCGACACCTCCTCAATCACAACCACCACTATCACATCGATCTTCAAAAACTAAATCTCTCTATTAACAACCTCACATTCATAATATGTAAATTTTCAAAGAAGCATCCTAGTCCGTAACACGAAGATTGAAGTTGGGAAGAGCGACGCTACTACTAATGATGGCCACTTCATGATGCAACGCCTCTTCAATCTCTCCACATCGATTGCTGTGTCACTTCAACCTCCAACTGAATCTCTCCACATCGAATGTGATTCTGCTTCACGATGTACGCAACAAAAGAGGTACTTTGTCACTCGCGATGGTGTCAGTCCATTGCGGTGGTAGTGCATCACCGGATTGACAGCTGTATTGGTTTGTAGATATATTTAATTTTTTTTTTAATATTGTTAATATTAAAGAATTGTAACGTTAAAAAGAATAGAATTATTAATAGCTAATTATAATCTGAATTTTGAAATATGAAACTTCAAATATGACTTATGAAAAGTAAATTCTAAAAATAGGTCTAAGTGTAATTTTTCACTACATTTAATTATAGATTCGTAGTTGTCCCTAATGTATTTTGACTTTGGGATTGATTTGGTATTCTAATAGATTTTAAGAGAATTAGCTTTAGCTGTGTTGAAAAGAATCAATTAAATGTTCGGTAAACATTTGTGCCGAAATTGATATATGTTTAAAATCATCCTTATTTTAAAACAATATGTAACATTGTTAAATATTTATATATGACAATATATTCATCACAGTTAATTTAAAGCAAAAAATTAATATATACCAAATATTAAAAAATTCATAAAGTTAGATAATAATTTTGATCTGTTAATGGGGGACAAAATGGGGATCACAAGAAAAATGAAGAATGCTTTTTAACGTGAATGATGGAGACATTTGCTCTCTCTCACACTCTCTCTCTCCTCATTTTTTTTGCCCTTTTTTTTTTTTGGTCAAGGTATCCGCCTTTGACGACTATTTCTTGGGTCTGTGATCCGACCCCTCTTCACACAGACTAGTTAAATCGCGGGATGTGCCGCCAACTGACCAGGGTTTGAGCACATGTCCAATTGGACTGCCGAAGTGCCTAGTGAGCCAACTCATGTTGCGTCTTGCCTTCCAACACACTCCTGTCTTCTAAGATAAATCCTGCCTTCCAGTATGGACCTTGCCTTCCAAGAGCCCCAAGAATCAAACTCATGACCCCTGATCTGCCAGTTTTGAGAGAGTCCGTCATTTGCCAATGGAAAAGTGCTCTGAAGACCCCTTTCTCTCTTTCTTATGGCTTACGATAGATGGAAGTTTATTATTGTAAAATATTACATGTGGAACAGAAAATGAATTAGTTTTATTCATTTCATAGGCACACAATAAATTTATATTCAAATTAATAATGAATCTGGTTTGATCAAATTCGAGGGTGTTTCGTGGTGATTAAAATTAATTTTTTAGTAGATTGTGATAGAAGTTTTTGAAATATGAGGTTAAAAAGTTGTGAAATTCATGAAAAATATGATTAATACTAATTATTTAATTTTGACTTAAATTAAAATTAAATTTTAATCTAAACTAAACAGACGCCGAATATAAAACTTTAGACAACTCTTTTCATATCTTAACAGTTTTATTATATTATGACAAACACAGCCCGTGGAATATAATATATTATAAAAAATCATAAAATGAGTTTGGGTCGAATCAAAGTATGGATAGTTGTGAAAAGTTAATTAAGTGACAGGAAATCAGAACAGGGATTAAGAATGTAATGACGGGAACTTGTCTTGCTTGGAACAGATATTAAAAGACAGAAAAATGCAATATTAATCATAAGTCTTCTTTGAATATTTTATTTGTAAAGTCCGGAAATGTATAAAAAAGTCAACCCTGCTTCTGGAAGGATGGCGCCCCCTGTTTTTGAGCCTGATTTTGAACCTGCCTCTGTAGCTTTTTTGTAGAAAAGTTGTCAATACTGAATTGATTTCACTTACTATTTATATCACGTCGATAGCCTTAGCTATCTATTTCAAAATTTATTGAGATTCATTTGTTATTTAGCCCTTGTTTAACAGTGATTTGACATCATTTCAATCACACATTTTTTAATAAAATAATATTATATACAATTCAAAAAAAATTTCTTATTTTTTAACCACATATTTCCCATCAATGCACTATTCAAAAATTCATTTTCTAAACAAAAATGGAGCTCAAACAAGGGCTTAGTAGTACTCCATTTTGAAATAGCTTTTTGAAAATTAAATATTACATTATAAAAATAAATTATAAAATTTCGTATAACATTTTTACTACTTCATTTGGTTTCTTATTTTTCTAGAAGGATAATATTTTTATGTGTTCTATAAAGTAACGATGCATTTTACATTTATTTTTACAATTAATAACACCTATGATCGCCACTACATATTCATCAAGGCTTGGTATCATTTAAATGAAAAATCTTTTCAATTAATTTACAAGCGTGTATCACATTTGTCTACAGAAGGACAGCTGACCGTTTCCCATTCATTACCCCATCCTTCAATGATGCAAAAAGCTTACCGAAAGTTTATTCAAAATAAGAACATGAATGAGATGTGCTTTTTTCTATAATTTTCTTTTTTCAATTACACATTCACGTAATAAAATATTTTGCACGTTTTTCTTTACTTTTTAATCATACATTCTTAGAAAAAAATTACTATTCAAAATCTCCCCTTTTTTTCTATAATTTTCCTTTTTCAATTACACATTCACATAATAAAATATTTTGCACGTTTTTCTTTATTTTGTAATCATACATTCTTAAAAAAAAATTACTATTCAAAATCTCCCCTTTTTTTCTATAATTTTCCTTTTTCAATTACACATTCACATAATAAAATATTTTGCACGTTTTTCTTTATTTTGTAATCATACATTCTTAAAAAAAATTACTATTTCAAAATCTCCCCTTTTTTTCTATAATTTTCCTTTTTCAATTACACATTCACATAATAAAATATTTTGCACGTTTTTCTTTATATGCCCCTTTAGACCCCATTCTCTTTTATTTTTTTCTCTCTTATTTTTAACCATACAATTTTCAATAAAATAATATTACATGTAAATCGAAAATTTTTCATTTTTTTTCAAACACACGTTTTTGAAAAAAAAAATACTATTTCAAATATTAAAAATTTGAAAAAAAATGGGGTCAAGCAGGGCTATATAAACAAGCATTGGGGTCTTATGCAATTCATATCCAAAAACATTACTAACCATGGCTTCTCTTCAAGCTTCGTGCACCGTTCTCTCCACCCATCCCCGCTCCCATTCCTCCTCCTCAACTCAGCCACTCTCCGCAAAGCCATCACATTTGTTCACCCTCTCAATAACCATCACTTGAAGGGAAGAGACAATAATAATTTATGTCGTTCACCTACCTATAGTACTAATTAACACTTCAATAAAGTCTATGCCCCTTTAGACCCCATTCTCTTTTATTTTTTTCTCTCTTATTTTTAACTATACAATTTTCAATAAAATAATATTACATGTAAATCGAAAACTTTTCATTTTTTTTTCAAACACACGTTTTTGAAAAAAAAAATACTATTTCAAATATTAAAAATTTGAAAAAAAATGGGGTCAAGCAGGGCTATATAAACAAGCATTGGGGTCTTATGCAATTCATATCCAAAAACATTACTAACCATGGCTTCTCTTCAAGCTTCGTGCACCGTTCTCTCCACCCATCCCCGCTCCCATTCCTCCTCCTCAAGTCAGCCACTCTCCGCAAGGCCATCACATTTGTTCACCCTCTCAAGGTGGAGTCACCGCTTTCAAGTGTCATGCGATGCCAAGAAAAATGTCGAAACTTCCCAAGGGAAGATCGATAGGAGAAATATGCTTCTGGGGCTAGGGGGAATGTATGGTGCAGCCAACCTTGTGGCAAATCCTTCGGCCTATGCCGACCCGGTACAAGCTCCAGACTTCACCAAGTGCGGCGATGCCCATGACGCTCAGACTGGCGCTGCTCTAGATGTTAAATGTTGCCCCCCACTTGCCGACAAGATCATCGATTACAAGCTTCCACCGTTTCAGATGATGCGCATTAGGCCGGCTGCTCATAGGGCCAGCAAAGAACAAGTGGCCAAGTACGAAGAAGCCATTAGGCGCATGAGGGAGCTTGATACAACCGATCCGCAAGATCCACGTGGCTTCATGCAGCAAGCCAATATTCATTGTGCCTATTGCAATGGAGCCCATGACCAAGTCGGGTTCAACAATCTTGACCTCCAAGTTCACAACTCTTGGCTTTTCTTTCCTTTCCACAGGTGGTACCTGTATTTCTATGAAAGAATATTGGGCAAACTGATTAATGACCCAACTTTTGCTCTCCCATTCTGGAACTGGGACAATCCTAAGGGCATGACATTGCCTCCCATTTTCGATAAAACCGACTCACCTCTATATGATGCAAATCGGGATCCAAACAATAGGGGCTCCTCTGTTGTCGATCTTACAATCACCCGCAGCAAAGACAACCTACAGTTGGTGGCCAACAACCTCACAGCCATATATAGTGAAATGATTCGCAGCGTCAGCACCGCAACTGATTTCATGGGAAAACCTTACTGTGCTGGAACCAACCCAAATCCAGGGCCTGGCTCATCAGAAAATGGTTCTCACACTGGCGTACACTGGTGGGTTGGAACCAAGGATACATCGGGCCCCAATAAACTTAATGAGGACATGGGCAACTTTTACTCAGCGGGTCGAGACCCAGCTTTCTATTGTCACCATTCGAATGTTGATCGAATGTGGACTATATGGCGAGATGTTTTGAAAACAGATGTCCCTAAGGACATCACTTCAACAAATTACTTGAATGCTGAGTTTCTATTCTATGATGAAAATAAACAGCTTGTGCGTGTCAAAGCTGGCGACTGTTATGACCAAAGAAAACTGGGATATGATTATGACAGAATTGATCTTCCCTGGCTAAACTACAGGCCACCGAAGAAGGCAACCAAGGCTAAAGTTTCGAACATTTCTGATGCTAAGACTGCAGCAAGTGTGTTACCTGTAAACCTGAAAGAGACTGTGAGAGTTATTGTCCCTAAATCTGCGAAGGGAAAAGTTGACGAGCAACTGATGCTTGAAAATATAGAGACAGACAGTACAAAATTCATCAAGTTCGATGTGTTCATCAATGATGAAGATGACAAGATTGAAGAGTTGGACAGGGCTGAATATGCAGGATCTTTCGCACAACTCCCACACAAAACTAAAAACAAGCAGGGCAAGTCTAGTATTTCATTGAGATTGACATCCGTGTATGAAGACATTGATGTTGCTGATGATGACACTGTTGTGGTGACAATTGTGCCAAGATCCAATGGCGAATATGTCACCATTGGTGGTATCAAGATCGTCCCGGTGCCTCCACGATCTAGCTAAATGGGTCTTCCGTTGAAATGAATAAGGTTAAGCACTTTTCTTGTGTGCTTATGTTTGTGGTAATTCACTGGTTTGAGTTTATGTACGAATAAGATTTTCTCCTTGTATTTCGTGGTGGATTTGGCAGGGCAGTTTGGTCCTGTAACTTGACGTGCAACTATTTTCTATAAATGTCAATTTGTTATTTAAGAGTGTTAAGAGAGAGAGAGAAAAAATAGAGTAAAATAAAAAAAATACAATTATAAACTTCAATCACTCTCTTAACTTATCTCAGTTGTCGCACTAAGCATTTTACTAATTTTTTAACTGAACTTAATTTCCCCGATCACTTAATTTAGCCTCCATTTGAGTTCCATTAAATTTATAATACAATTTTCTCTCTCTTCTTTTTAACTACACATTTTCCAATGAGATAATATTATACATAAATCAAAAATTTTTCCTTCTTTTTCAATCACACATTCTCTAAAAAAAACATTATTCTAAAAATTATAACAACAAATAATGGGGACCAAATGGGGACTTATATTTTTGTTTCAATCGTTCGAAATTATGTTAGTTTGACAAATGGAAAACTAGTTCAGATATCGAAATGATATTAATAAATTTGATATAAGTATAGAGTCTATATAGAAGTCACGATTTGAATGAAACTGTAAAAAATTGGAGAAAATGTTGTAGAAGAGTCGTCACTGGCCAATCAACCTCCATTAACGACTTTAACGATATTAAGTGGCTTTGTTCACTCCACCACATGTAACATCGCTAGCACAATCTTGAGTGAAATAAATAAATCTACATCTTTTTAAATAGAATCATTATGTAAAAGTCAACAACGTCCAAAGTGATGGCACTTTTTTTTTTTCCTTCTTCTATGCTTTGCACGCCTTGAGTCTCGATTCAATGTAGAGGGTCCTTTGTCCTTTTATTGTTGCAAAATGTCCTAAAATCAATTCCTTTAACTTCCACGATCAGTTTCCTTTGTCCTTTTATTGCTTTATACAGGATCTTTCATCTCGTGCTTTATTTAAGAGGGGGAAAAAAAAAAAGGTGAACCTCAACCTTGAGAGTCCCCATCGTCCCGCCCCTAGAGCTTTGTGAGGGTGGTAAATCGCGGGATGTGCCCATCAGGCCAAGGAACAAGAGCTGCCTGTACACTACGCCTACAAGGAGTCCAATTCCATGTATCAAGAATCGAACCCCACACTGCGACTGTCCACAAGGTGTGAGATAACCTCACTCTTGTTATTTCTTATACTTTACCTTGTAGAAATGTTATTTTCTCCATTCTTTTCACCAAATTTTCCCTGTTTTCGTAACTCCTTTTTTTTGTTTTCTTCCTTTTCCTTGTGCTAAGATCTGACGTTAAAGATGTCACAGTTGGTGGTATCAAGATCATTCCATTTTTGCTTTATTTACCTAAATGAGTCGTTCCATTAAAATGTAAACGGTACTTTTGGAGTTAATTGTTTCAATGGTTACTAAACTTAAATCTATGTTTTTAATTGGTCAGTAATGTCCTAAAATCAATTCCTTTAACTTCCATGATCAGTTTCCTTTGTCCTTTTATTGCTTTATACAGGATCTTTCATCTCGTGTTTTATTTCTATACTTGTAGAAATTTTATTTTCTCCATTCTTTTCACCAAATTTTCACCGTTTTCGTACCTACTTTTTTTGTTTCCTTCCTTTACCTTGTGCTAAGATTTGATGTTACAGATGTTACAGTTGGTGGTACCAAGATCATTCCATTCTTGCTTTATCTATCTAAATGAGTTGTTCCATTAAAATGTAAACGGCACTTTTGGAGTTAATTGTTTCAATGGTTACTGAACTTAAATCTATGTTTTTTATTGGTCACTGAAGTTTAAAACGACGAATTTTGGTTATTGAACTTAAGTCCATGTCTTCTATTGCTTATTAAAGTTTAAAATATCAAGTTTTGACTATTAAATTTTGAAAAATATTGTACATTACTCACGGTAAACTCGATATTTTCAAAAGTACAACATTTATGAATAACGTATAATATTTTTCAAAATTCAGTGGCTAAAATTCGAAATTTTAAATTTCAGTGAGCAATTGAAAATATGAACGTAAGTTCAGTGATCAATCAAAGACATGGACCTAAGGTCATTTTTTATAATGCCAAGTTCTATGGAAAATGGAATTCCATTTTTCACCCATTTTGTGGTGTTTGATAGCAAAATTTTACATGGAATTTGCAAAAGTACAACATTTATGAATAACGTATAATATTTTTCAAAATTCAGTGGCTAAAATTCGAAATTTTAAATTTCAGTGAGCAATTGAAAATATGAACGTAAGTTCAGTGATCAATCAAAGACATGGACCTAAGGTCATTTTTTATAATGCCAAGTTCTATGGAAAATGGAATTCCATTTTTCACCCATTTTGTGGTGTTTGATAGCAAAATTTTACATGGAATTTGGTTTTTTTGAAAATTGGAATTTTCTTGGTTTTCATTGAAAACAATTTCCCACCAAGTTTTATATGGTACTATTTACCTTTTCTTTTTAATTTTTAATTTTTATTTTTGGTAATGGAAGCAAATTCTATCCCTTATTCTAAAAAAAAAATATTTTTCTTTAATTGATAATTTTCATCTGAAATAAAGACAAATGAACACCAAAAGATAGATAATTTTTTTTTTGTTGCGCAATAGAAACAAATTTTATCTCCAATACTAATAAATTTTACATGGAATTTGGTTTTCTTGGTTTTCTTGAAAATTAGAATTTTCTTGGTTTTCATTGAAAACCATTTCCCACCAAGTTTTTTATGGTGCTATTTACGTTTTTTCTTTTAATTTTTTTTATTGCAATGGAAACAAATTATATCCCTAATTCTATCCTTTTAATTGACAATTTTCATATAAAACAAAGCCAAATAAATACCAAAAAAACTTTTATTTCAATATTTTTCACGTGAAAAATTATACCAATCAAACACAATAATTGACAATTCCTAATAAAACAATTTCTAGGCAATTCATTTTTCTGGAATTAATCTTTGTAATCAAATAAGTTCAATAACCATTAAAAAAATTAACTCAGCACTTTTGTCTTGGTTTTCCTTTTCTTTTTCCAGTTTTGTTATGCTACTTTCAGTTTTCTTATGCTACTTAGAAATTCAAAAACGTAAGTTTAATTTTTCAACTATTTTTCCTTTTTTAATATCATAGTTTAATTCTTAAACTTTTACCTAATTTAAAATGTAAGTTATAATTTTCCTTAATAATATATTCATTCACGACTTCACAAGTGTACTTATTGATTGACTATGCCTATATATGTAACATAATTTTTTAAAGTTTGAATAGACAATTAAATAAAAACAGATCAATGCACAGAAACAACAAACATTTTGAGCACAACATTTCTTCCAACAGTCTCCATTTGATATATTTACATGGTTTCCCAATTTTAAAAGTAATTGGTCCTCTTAGTTATCAACGGACAATTAAAAATGATGCGACTGTTAATTCCTAATTAAAATTTCCCGTGGTTCCAGTTGAAATTTAAGCCCATTTGTTTATAATGGATGAAATAATTTTCTATTCACATATTTCGTGGAAGCAACGATTAGTATCCACTTATCCACAAGTTATTTTTATCTATTTATAATTTAAATCAGCTATAAAAAAATTCCCATACATGCTTTTAGATAAATGGAAATTTGAGAATCTGAATGAAGCACGTCATTGTAACTCAAAGCACTCATTTCTCAGTGTAAACCCCTTGACCAAAATACCTTTATTTATATAATTAGTAGTTACAATATATTCTTCTTCTTCTAAACATAAAGCAACTAATTTCTGCAATCGTGACTTCCAATTAATGGCAATATCACATAGTGTATAAACATAAGAGGATGTGGATCAGCTTCTATGTTTACCACCACATAGTTTTGAGTCTAAACCCATATTGAGACCCCTTAATGTATTTTAATAACCATTTCATATCTCCCTACTGTAGTACATCTTGATTAACCATGAACCTACATAACATATTGATGGCCAGGGCAACATCTGGTATTGTACAAACCACTGAGTACATTATTTAATCTACTACATTTTCATAAGACATATTACCTATCTTTTTTTTTTTTGAAGGACCCTATTCAGATCACAAATTGAAATAATTATTGTTGGATTTTGATACCCAATAAATCTCGAACGATAACATTAAATAGTTTTGGATTATATTTCAAAGGCATCGATCGATGAGTGAAATATTTATCAACCAATCAATTCATATGCTCAACCCGAAAATAACTTGGGTAACTATTGACAACTTAATTGTGTCAATGTTGTCTTAGCTCAAATTCACTTATAGGATGGCTTTCTTGTGTCTTAGCCCCTTATCTTGTGTTTTGGCCCAATTGATGATATAACCGAAATCTATATCTATCCATCTTCATTGTGTAGAAGCCGTGTGTTTTGCCCTTTGTTGAGAAGAAAACTGAGGCTGCCTTCTTGCCATCTCCATCATGCCTTTGCCTTTTTTGTCTTCTATTTGCCTTTGTGACTTGCAAATCACCACCTTAGCCTTTTCTCTTTGTGGGTGAGAAAGAAAGAAAGCAACCATAAGTGAATAAAGTTGTGGGTTGAAGTTTTTGTTGATTGGTTGATATTGATTGGTACATAGAAAAATATTTCAAGTACTTTAGGGATAATAACATGTTCGATTTAAATGTAGGAAGTTCTCTTTTCTATCATTTTTAATGTCCATTCTCAATATTCTTGAAGCTACACCAAGATATTTTATTTCAATATTTAGTTTTTACTTTGTCTTAGTGATTTGTCTATCAGAAGTACTTAGACAATTTAAAAACATATCATCAAAATAAGACTCTCAATATTTTCATCTTTGAAGTAAAGGCAGCTATCAATATTACTACTGAATCCAACACTACGTATATAAGAATCAAATCTTCATGTACTTGTTTAAGATCATACAAGGATTCTTCTAAAATTTTCTTACAAGAATTTCTTAAGAAGACACACTAATTAAGATTTTCTCACCCTTTTGTTCAAAGTCCTTCGATATTTTAATGTATAGTCTTTACGAAGCCCCGATTCAAGAAAAATAGTTTTAACATTCATTTTGCTTTACTTCTGAGTCGAATTCATTTACTAGATCTGAAAGAAATGATAAGAAGG